ATACTCAAGGCTTTGGCGGGCCGTATATTTTCTGTCGCATATATCTGGCTCGGTCACTGTACCATCTGAAAAATCTCTTCCGTCCCCCACCCCATCAACACCTGTGTGGAGAAATGGTACCAAGCCTCCCCCACTTGTCTGTAAAGCGCTGTCCTTGCCACACTTCTGACCAGACACCTCATCTGGGACTCATTGTTAGTACTGGTCTGACCCTGAGGCATGCGTCCCCAGCTGGAGCCACTAAGGGCACCTCCTTTGCACATCTGCGTTCCCTTTTAAAAGCACCCCCCCCCCCCCCGTCTCTTTCTCCCCGTCTGTCTCTCTTCTGCCCCTCCGATCCCTGGAGGCTGATCTCCCCTCCCCCCTTTTCCCATTCACTTTTCCCCAGTAAAAAAAAAAATTTTTAAAAATCTGCACCTGAGCTCTGTCACATGACATCTTCCTCGCGCGCTGCTTTTTTTAATTACAACACCCATGGCACTGCCGGTTATGAAGGGCTCACTAAGTGTCCTCAAGAGTCTCTTCAAACCCCTTCCTTTTTAAAATTTATTTTATCTACTTCCAGTTTTGGGAGCATGGGGGTGGGGTGGGGAAAGGGGAGAGGGAGAGAGAAAAGGGAGAAGGGGAGGATTGGGGAAAGCTTGGGGGAGTGGGATGATTGATATGGAGGAAGGGTGGATATGGGAGCAGGAAAGGAGGTAGTTAAAGGAGCCATTTTAGGGTTGGCAAGCGGCTTGGCTCTAGAGGGGTTCCCAGGTCCAAGGAGATGTCCGCTGCTAGGTCCTTGGGCAGCAGAGGAGAGGGTGCATGATCTGGCTTTGTCCCATAGCCACACTGATGAATATCTTGCATATCACCATAGAACCTTCATCTGGTGATGGATGGAGATAGAGACAGAGACCCAATTTGGAGCACTGGACTGAGCTCCCAAGGTCCAGATGAAGAGCAGAAGGAGGGAGAAGATGAGTAAGGAAGTCAGGACTGCGTGGGGTTGGTCCACCCACTGAGACAGTGTGCCTGTTCTAATGGGAGCTCACCAAATCCAGCTGGACTGGGACTGAATGAGCATGTGATCAAACCCGACTCTCTGAATATGGCTGACAATGAGGGCTGACTGAGAAGCCTATGATAATGGCACTGGGATTTGATTCTACTGCATGGACTGGCTGTTTGGGATCCTATTCTATTTGGATGCACACCTTCCTAGACCTGGATGGAGAGGGGAGGGCCTTGAACTTCCCACAGGGCAGGGTACCCTGCCTTCTCCTAGGACTGGAGAGGGAGGGGGAAGAGTGGGAGAGAAGTGAGAGGAGGGGAGGAGGTGGAAATTTGTAATAATAAAAATAAAAATAAAATAAAACAATAATAATAAAAAAGATTTATTTTAGTATGGATCTGTATGTATGTGCTCATGTGTGTGTTTGAGGGTACCCAAGAAGGAAGGAAGGGAATGGCAGGTCCCCCCAGAGCTGGAGCCTGTGGAATAATCTCTCAGTACACTGTGTGAATATATGTCGTTAGGGTTGGTTTAATAAAGAGCTTACTGGCTAGTAGCCGAATAGGATAAAGTTATTGGATAAACTTATTATATAACTGGATAAAGTTATTCAGTTGGGAAGCCAAACTGAAAGTGATGGATGAAGAAGGGTGGGGCCAGAGGAGCCGCCAGCCAGAGAGAGAACAAGTTGAACACACAAAATCGGATCGAAGTGAAACCCACGAGCCTGGGGGCAGCACACAGATGAATAGAAATGGTTAACTTGTCAGAGCTAGTTACTGACAGGTCTGAGCTATCGGCCAAGCATTTGTAATTAATATTAAGACTCTGGATGGCTATTTGGGAAATGGCTGCCTACATTGTAGTTACAGGTGATTGTGAGCCTCCCATTGTGAATACTAGGAGACACACTCCAGCTCTCCCGAAGAACAGCAGCAAGACGCTGACCACTGAGTCACCCCTGCGGCCCTGGAACCCATTCTTTGCTACATCCACGGCTGTCTCGCCAGTGTAGCAGAAATGCTGACTGGATGGGCAAATATTGCCGGCAGGATTGGGATTGGTGCTTCAAGGAGCTGTGTGTTCCAGGCGGTCCCTTGGCAACCAGTTGTGGTGTAATGCTACCTGAGTCGCCATTAGTACTGACTCGACCTGGCTGTCCTTGGAGCCATATGTGTGTCTTTTCCCTTGTCTGTGTGTTCTTTGTGATCCTTACATATTGCTAACAGATCAGACTATTCCAGGCAGTTGTGGATATAAACAAGACTGCTGAGGACATTTTTGGATTCTGCTCCACTATTAATTAAAGCCTTAAAAAAGTAGCCAGTTCTGGGAATTGCCAAAATCATCATTAGGACGATTCCTTGATGATGTAGAATAAAAGGAGTTAATCTTAGCAGAAAAAACCTTAGACGCCTTCTACAGGGAAACAGCATTAGGCATTTATGTACAACTTAACAGGAGGCCTATGCAACCTTCCTTATGGCCAGAAAACCTAGGCTAATTATAGCATCTGACCCTGAGAGTTGGGAAGGGAAAGGAGTTGAGATTAATGGTACAAAATGAGTCTCAGAAAGTTTTCCAGGAAGATAGTAGCCTTCTTCTTTCTCACCCAGACACACAAGGTCACTTAGCTGAGCCCAAGTCAGCCACCTGGTACAAGCTGATAAAGTTGGGCTAACTCAAGAACAATGGTCTCTCTAATAACAAGAAAAAAGAAGGGGTAACTTTACAAATGTAAGAAAGCAAAAGTCCTTGTACTCATGCCAAAGCATCTTTAAAGATTCTCTTTGAAAAACTGTTTTATGCCGTTCTTTTCTATTTTATGATCTGATGATGTATGCCTTTGCCAAGTCCTTTGTTTTGTAATAATATATAATCCTGCACTGAAGTAAGTAAATCGCACCAGCATGTCTCAAAAACATTGAGAGTGTTTGTGTGTCACTTTTCCTCGCCGTATCCTGATTTCTCCTGTGCCTTCGCCCTGATTCCCTTACGGTCTGAGTGGCTCCCTTGAGCTGGTCCGTAGCAATTCTTTACATGAAATGTGCTCTTGGCCCCCACAGAATAGTCTGGACAACACGATTAGGCACCTGGAGGGATGATCATTGTGCCACTATGTGTCCCAACATCGTCACACTCATTGCCCTATAAATTCCTCCACGTTAGCACTGGGCACACAGGACTTGATGCTGCCCTACTGTGTGCTGATCACCAAGGTAGACTCTAACTATATCCTGTCTCGTTTTCACCAAAGCACTCTGAGGTGGGCACCATAGTGCCGATATACGAGTGAGGAAGCCGAAGCTGAGAGACTGAAATGCGCTATGTTCCCGGCCCCCACCTGCACCCGCTTCTCCCATCTGCAGTGACAGCCAGTGAGGGTTGCTGGAACAGCGCAGGTGAGAAAGTTGCACCTTGGTCTTCGGATTCTAAACCCCTTCCACACAACAGCACTTTCGTGTACGTCGTAACAAGCCCATGAATCTAAAGCCGGAGAAATAAAGCCATACAGACGTGAAGGTCTGTTAGCGTAGCTCTCTCTCCACTGTCTTCTGACAATACAGCCTGGGTTCACCCCCTAAAACCCATCAATGAATGTATACATCAGTAAGATGTTAGCTGAGGTAGCCTCCTGTGGTCACACTGATCACCAAAGACTTCGCCTTTGGAGCCAGCCGTCATGCCAACACGAGGGAGTCTGAGACAGGATGTTTACTCCAAGTTTAAGGACCACCTGCACCTACTTAAACCCTGTCTTGGGCCCATGAGGTGACCCAGGAAGAAAAGGCTCTCGCCACCAAGCCTGACAACCTGAGCTTAACCTGTGGGCCACATGTGGTAGAAGGTGAGCACTCGCGGCAGAATAACCCTGCTGTACACTGTAAGCACGGACTGCTCTCATTGGTTAGTAAAGAACTGGCTGGCTGGTGGCTAGGCAGGATTTGTGGGGCAGAGAGAATCCGGGGAGGAAAAAGGACAGAAGTCAGGGAGATGCAGGCTAGACACAGAGGAAACAGGATGTGTCCAAAATGAAGTCATGAGCCATGAGCCACGTGGCAGCAAGTAAATAAATAGAAATGGGTTAATTTAAGTTATAAGAGCTAGTTAGAAACAAGTCTAAGCTATTGACCAAGCATTTATCATTCATAATTTTTTCTTTTTCTATTTTTCTTTCTTTCTTTCTTTCTTTCTTTTTTTTTTTTGGTTTTTGGTTTTTGGTTTTTTTTTTTAATTTATTTATTCATGTACTTTATATATACACCAGAAGAAGGAATCTGATCTCATTATAGATGGTTGTGAGCCACCATGTGGTTGCTGGGAATTGAACTCAGGACCTCTGGAAGAGTAGTCAAGTGCTCTAAACCACCGAGCCATCCCTCCAGCCGCCTGGTTTTTGGTTTTTGAAGCCAGAGTTTCTCTGTGTAACTTTGTTCCTGTCCTGGAACTTGCTCTATAGACCAGGCTGGCCTTGAACTCACAGAGATCCACCTGCCTCTGCCTCCCAAGTGCTGGGATTAAAGGTGTGCGCCATCACTGCCTGGCAAACATTTATACTTAATATTAAGTCTCTGTGTTATTTGGGATCAGGCTGGCAGGACAGAACTAACAGGCAGTCCTGACAAAAACTCCACCTACAAGAACCGACTTCTGGGGGCCAGAGAGATGGTAGAGTGGTTAAGAGCACTGGTTGCTCTTCCAATAGAACCTAGGTTCAATTCCCAGCACCCACGTGGCAGCTCAGAGCTGCCGTAACTGCAGTTTCTGAGAAGCCAACACCTTCACACAAACATACATGCAGGTAAAACATGAAAGCACATGAAATAAGAATAAGTTATTAAAAAGAAAAAGAACTGACTTCTACGGGTTGTCCTCTGACATCCACACACACAATATGGCATGTGTATGAGCACACACACAATAAAATAAATAGATAAATAAATAAACAAATTTTAAAAAGAAAAAGGAAGCAACCCCTGTCTCAAACAACACAAGGACGTACCTTTGCATCTCGGATGTCCTTCCCCAGAATTCTGGACAAAGTGTCAGCGTACTGCTGTATTGTTAGGGCCTCTGCACTGAGGCCCATAGCCTTGCCGACAAACTCCTCTGGAGAAGCGAAAATGCTAGAGACAACAGCTCCAACGTCGGCGACGGAGATCCCGTCCATTGGCACATCCCCCATGGGCAGTGCTAGTTTCAAAAAAACAAATGAAAAATAAATCATAGTATCACACCCTCAGCAGGTCCTCCAGCCCAAGCTAGTCACTTCATCAACTCTAACCCCATAAACTAGAGGTGTGACAAGCAGGGGCCATGGGAAGAGGTCACTGCGGGGAGCAGAGCTCAGAAGGTCATAGAACCATGAAGGTCACAGGATCATGAAGGTCACAGAACCATGCAGTCACTAGTTCTCACAAAGTTGTAATAAACTGGGGTTCCTTTGGGAATGTCAGCTATTCCCATCACAGGGACACCCAGTGCTGCAGCCTGAATATTTGGGATCCTGTAGGGAAGTGGCCATTACCTCTTCGCCCAGGGCTCCTCTAAGCCACAGATTATAAGATCTATGCAGTCCATGCTGGAGCAGGCTGGGGACCCATCTCCTGAGACTACCTCTGAGGATGGGATCTTGTTCTCGCCTGCTGCCGAAGAGCACTGAGGACTCTTAGTGTCCATCTTGTTCAGCCTTTCCAGGAGACACGAGGAAGCTGAGGCTTGCGGACAGAGTTAACTACACACACAGGGAGTGTCAGCATGGTGGGCTGAAAAGATCACCTGTGTGCTTCCCGCCAGGTCCAGTCTCGGTCCCTGGGGGCATGACTGCCATGGGCAGGTCTAGGGCAGCTCAGTGGCCCTCTAAACAGGTCACACAGAGCCAAGAGCACCAGTGTGTCCACTGGAGAGGATCAGGAAAGGGAATGGGGGGAAAACAGGAGACAAGGGAAGAGGCAGGCGGCCAGATGTCGGCGTACCTTCACGGCAACCTGGCATTTACCTAGGGTGTAGGAGCCATCAGGGCTTTTCACCGGCTTCCACATGGTGAGGAAGTTTTCAAAGTAAGCTGCCAGGCGGATGCTGGTCATGGGAACGCCAATGGACCAGAAATACTCCTCCACTTCCCCCTTCCCGTCGAAGTGCAGCACCTTCAGCTTGCCCCCGCTCAACCGATCCACGTTCTCCAAACCGCTGTACACCACGTGTTTCAGGCCCAGGCGCTTGGCGATATCTGCCACCAGCTTCCCCTGAGGGGCAAAATTCAAGTCTTTGCACTCAAATGTAATTTATATTTTTTTTTTCTGGTGTCTGCACACCAGTTGGATTTTGTGGGCCAAGTGGAGGGACACATACACACATAAATGTCTATTTTCTCACTCCCCCCGCCACGCCTGGCTTATGGATTCTCTGTTTTGTTTTTAGTTCTAAATTTCCAGCTCTCCCTACCCTCCTCCCTTCCCCTTCCTCCCTCCCTCTCTCCCTCACTATTGCAATCTCACCTTTACCTATAAAATCTCCCATAGCAGTCGGGAAAAGTGAAGCTAAGAAATGATAAGCAACCTCAGGTTCAGGTTGTGTGTGTGTGTGTGTGTGTGTGTGTGTGTGTGAGTAGGTGGGCTGGTGTCTGCACATGTGTATGTGTGAGTGAATGTCAGAATTAGAATTCAAGAAATATATCAGGCAGTGATGGCGCACGCCTTTAATCTCAGCACTCAGGAGGCAGAGGCAGGTGGATCTCTGAGTTTGAGCCCAGACTGATCTACAGAGTGAATTCCAGGACAGCCAGGGCTACATAGAGAAAAACCCTGCCTTGAAAAAAAATAATAAATAAAAATAAAAAAGTAAAGAAGAATTCAAGAAATACTTTTAAGGGGCCAGCAGGGAAACTGGGTCTGGTGGTACAGCCCTGAAATCCCAACTCCTTGGGTGCCTGTGGCAGGACAATCATAAATCAAAATCTCAAAATAAAAAGTTAAAAAAAAGAAAGTCGAGGATAGAGTTCAGTGACAAAGCACATGCACACTCCCTCCCAGAGCATAACACTAGGGCATCCCAAAGTTAATCCAGTGAACATTAAGTGGCAAGAGCAATTCAGTAACCATTTCTCTGCCCTGTCTCTGTTTTTCCGAATTTTGTCATTTCTGTGAGTAGCTGAGCTGTCCATACAGAATGTTTCTGACAGTAAGGATGTAGCGTTGTCTCCTCTCCTCTTGTGTACACACGACCTGCACATAGAGCTCTCTTCCGCTACAGTGCAAAGGCCCAGTCCCTTTACCCTCATCCACTGCCGTGGCTGGGGTGTGATCTCTGCTCAGTGTCTGCTCAGTGGGATGATCTGAGTCACGGCACACGTTTCCGGTGCACGCACTTCCCACACAGTTGGGTCACGGCACATGTTTCCGGCGCATGCACTTCAAACACAGTTGAGTCACGGCACACGTTTCCGGTGCACACACTTCCCACACAATCCTCTTCCTGGAGCCTTTACTCGATTCCCCTGCTTGCTAATTACGTTTTCTTTGTACCCTTCACCAACTCATCCCCATAGTCTCTTATTGAAGTATAAATACATTTCATATATATTTATAAATGTTTTCTTTTATGGTCATGTTTTATCTTCCCATTTGCTGTCAAAGTAACCTCGGTATGGGACATCCCTGCCCTCCACTTACAAACTGTAATAAATGGAGGATTTAATGACTGGCTCTATGAAGCAGTACAGTGGTATATTATTTGTGTTTTAATAAATAAAGCTTGTCTGAAGATCAGCAAAGCAGCCAGACCAGTCAGCCATGCAGACCAGGCAGTGGTGGCACACACCTTTATTCCCAGCAGCTGCACTAGTTAGCCTTAGAGGCTGGGCAGTGGTGGCGCAGGTCTTTAATCCCAGCACTCGGGAGGCAGAGGCAGGCGAATCTCAGTGAGTTTGAGGCCAACCTGGTCTACAAGAGCTAGTTCCAGGACAGTCTCCAAAACTACAGAGAAACCCTGTCTCGAAAAACCAAAATAATAATAAATAAAAAAAAAATTTAAGGGCTGGAGAGATGGCTCAGTAGTTAAGAGCATTGTCTGCTCTTCCAAAGGTCCTGAGTTCAATTCCCAGCAACCACATGGTGGCTCACAACCATCTGTAATGAGGTCTGGTGCCCTCTTCTGGCCTGCAGATATACACACAGACATAATATTGAATACATAATAAATAAATAAATATTTTTTTAAAATAAAATTTAAAAAGTGGGATGAGACAGGAACTCACTCTCCTTCAGTCTGAAGATTTCAGTGGTTGACTGCTTTTCTTTTCTGATCTTCAAGTTGAACCCCAATATCTGTCTCTGGGTTTTTATTATTCGTGCTACAAAGCAGTTCTCCTCAAATACCTCAAGTCTTTAACTTTCAACAGGTGCCATATAACATTACATTTACCAGCCTTCAGCGAGTACCTAACATGCACATATTTCCTAAGTGCCAAGGGGATGTTGCGAAGCGAGGTTTGCTTTGGGGTCCAAACTGAGACTAACACAGACAAAGTAGGTGGGGGAAGAAGAAGGGCCTTAAAAGGGAAAGAAGGATGCTTCAGCTCCCACCTGACACACTTCCTTCTCTTTGCTGAGGTGGTCCCAGAAGCTGGTCACCACAAAGGCTCCATGGGCCCCTTTTAAGGCCTCCTCCACAGACGCAGCGTCATCCAGGTCGCACCTGACCACCTCGGCGCCAAGGTCCCGAAACGCTAGGGCGTTTTTCTGAGTCACATTCCTGGTCAGCGCTCTCACTGCAAAGTGTTTGTTCTCCAGAATGGCCCTGGCCACAGAGCCACCCTGAGCCCCTGCAAGGTCAGAGAAGAAGAAGCACAAGGTCAGAAAGAAGCACACAAATAAAAATGCTCGCTAGAAGAGTCAGAAGATCCCAGCGGCACGTGGAGCTATTACTGAAGGACCCCCTTCTGTAGGTACCACGAGGAACTTTAGGCATCCCATGGTTTTCAAATTATCCAGGCCATAAGAGGGAGAGGGACAGGAGAGGCTGGAGGAAAAAGAACAAGTCATGTGGTGAGGTACAGACTCCAGTTAAACAATTAAACACGATTATGCAGGCATAGATACTATAGATTGGGTTTTGTTTTGTTTTGTTTTGTTTTTTTGGTTTTTAGTTCCCACACTTTGAATGATTTTCTCTCTCTCTCTCTCTCTCTCTCTCTCTCTCTCTCTCTCTCTCTTTCTCTAGTTATATTTATTTATGTCTATTCAGCTTTTTCCAGTGCTGAGGATTAACCCAGGGCTTCAGATATGCTTAGCAAATGCTTTTCTACTGAGCTGCGTCTCTCCAAGCTTAGTCTATATTCATAAAACATTTTCAAAACTTTCATAAGGTTTACCCTTTGCTGTTGCTGTTGCTTTGCCATCCGTGGTCATTTGTAATAGGATCTTCTAATCATCTAATCTGTTTTACGATATGGTTTCTCTGTCCTAGAACTCACTCTGTAGACCAGGCTGGCCTCGAACTCACAGAGATCTGCCTGCCTCTGCCTCCTGAGTGCTAGATTAAAGGTGTGCGCTAGCGCTGCCCAGCAGCCTCTTACAATCTCATTCGTTGATCCTTAGGACGAGTTGCTATGTTCCTGCATTCTTTGTAGAAAGAGTCTAGCCTTGAATTTACTAAATGCTGGGGGATAGGCAAGTGCCACTACGCCTGACTTATAAAACTGTTCTCAGCTGTCTTTTTGTGGGACCTACCTGATGTATCACTGATCTGACCCTAGACAAAAAACTACCATTTCACAGGCTGGCTTTGCCCATGAGCCTCGGGTGGTGACCAGTAGCAAATTGGTTAGGGGTGAATGAATAGGTAGCCCCAATTTACCAGATGTTTGAAAGAAACCTCCCCATGGAAATTAAAACTAAAATAAATCAATAAAAAGAAAACAGAATCAGCAAAGGGGAGGGAATAGTTGAGGGGAGAAACACCCAAGGTGGGAGAATTTGCATCCCAAATATATCTAGGCTGTGGTGTAGTTTACTGGTAGAATATTCAAGTCTCAGCATCAGCAGGGTGTGGTAACACACACCTGAAGTACCAGTACTAGGAAGGTAGAGGAAAGAGGGTCTGGAGCTCAAGATTAGCTTTGATACATTGTGAGTTCAAGGCTACTCTGGACTACCCTGCTGGACAACAACAAAATAAGTAAGTAAATAAATACAAAATTCCCAAGGAAACAAACAAGCTGAACTTGGTGACACTGGCCTTAATCCCAGCATGAATTACTCAGCGGGGAGCTGAGACAAGAGTATTGCTAAAAACCCAAAATCAGCCTGGGCACAGTGATTGTTAGGCCACTGTAGCAAGATCTTCTGGGGGCGGGGGGAGCTGGGTGTTGCCTGTCCTTAATCCCAGCACTTGAAAGGCAGAAACAGGTCGAGTTTAAGGCAAGCCTGGTCTACAAAGCTAGTCCCCGTGACAGGCAGGGACATCTCTGGACTGGTTGTCCGGATTCTATAAGAAAGCAGACTGAACTAGGCATGGGAAGCAAGCCAGTAAGCAGCACCCCTCCATGGCCTCTGCATCAGCTCCTGCCTCCAGGTTCCTATGCTGCGTTCCTGTCCTGCCTGCCTCCAATGATGAACACTAAGTCAGATAAACCCTGTCCTCTCAAGTTGTTTTTGGTCATGGTGTTTCATCACAGCAATGGTAACCCCAACTAAGCATGCACTAAAAGCCCTGGGTTCAGTTTCCAGCACCACATAAAACCGGGAATGGAAAGCTCCCGTCTGTAATCCCAGCACTAGCAACATCGAAACAGGAGAGAGACTCCGTGTAACATCATCTTTACACAGTTCAGGTCAGCTGGGCTGCAAGAGATCATGTCTCAGAAACATATGCACATGGGGGAAGGTGGAAAGTGTTTTCGGGAAGAATCTCTGAAAAATTAAGTGTATTGTAATAGGAATAAAGTTGAAAGTCGGGCGTGGTGGTGCACACCTGCGTGACTCAGCACTCAGAACGCAGTCACAGGAGGTCAGAAGTTCGTGCCGCCTCAGCCACATTGCAAGTCTGAGGCTAGTATAGACTGTGAGACCCTATCTCAAAAAAAAAACCTAAAGAGACAGCCAATGCCTATGCCCCAGCATTTGGAGCGGGTGAGAGAGACAGACAGAGGAATAGGAAATAAAAAAGAAAGGTAAAGAGACTGAGCCCAGAGGAATTTCAGAATGAAAGTGTGGAAATTTTTTTTAGGAAATAATTCCTCAGGGTCCAAGGATACTGACTTGAGTTTCCAGAACTCAGTAACAAATTAAATCTCTTAAACACAGTCTCTCCAGTGGTGGCACACGTATGCCTTTAGTCCCAGCACTTGGGAGGCAGAGGCAGGCGGATCTCTGTGAGTTTGAGGCCAGCCTGATCTATAGAATGAGTTTCAGGATCGCCAGGGCTACACAGAGAAACCCTGTCTTGGAAAACCACCTTCCGTCCCCTCCCCAAAAAATAAACAAATAAACAAAAAACTACATCTGATTTCTTTCTCTCTCTCTTTGGTTTAATTGGTGTTCTGCTTTTGCTTTCATTGAGATAGGGTTTGGTTTACTGTAACCCATGGTGTCCTTGAACTTCTGCCTCTGCCTTCCAAATGCTGGGGTGTCTGGAGCATGTTACCACAACACCCAATGGATTTTCTTCTCTTTCTTTCTTTCTCTCTTTCTTTCTCTCTTTCTTTCTTTCTTTTTTTCTTTCTTTTTTAAAAATATTTCTTATGGTTTATTTAACTTTATTTTATGTGTGTTGGTGTGACTGTGTCAGATCCCCTGAAACTAGATCTTCAGACAGTTGTGAGCTGCCATGTGGGTGCTGGGATTGAACCCAGGTCCTCTGAAAGGGCAGTCAAGTGCTCTTAACTGCTGAGCCATCTCTCCAGCCCCCTCTGTCTTTCTTTCTCTCTCTCTCTCTTTCTTTCTTCCTTCCTTCCTTCCTTCCTTTCTTTTTTTGTGGGATGACTTTGTTTTAAACAAGTTTATTTAAAAACCAGAATGATTTGAGAGGAGAAGAGTAATGTACCACTGGACAGTGGTGGCACACACTTTTAATCCCAAAGGCGGGCAGATCACTAATAGTTCCAGGCCAGCCTGGTCTACAGAGCCAGTTCCAGGGCAGCCAGAGCAACACAAAGCAACCCTGTCTCAAAGACCAAAAACCAAACCAAAACAACAAAAAATTTCTTCAATGGGACAAGATTTGTGTGTTATAAAAGCAGTGGGAACAGAATAACAGCTGGAACATAGAAGCAAACTGAAGAAGAATGGCGCCCACTCAGGACCAGCACCTCCCGCAGCAGGAGGAGCAGAACAAATTTGAGAGATTTCAGCGGACCAGAACCCACAGGCACTGGTCCACCCTGCGAAGATTCCCAGAGTTCTTGGTCTACCAGAATCCTTCCTGGACTCCCCAGGAAACTTATGTCAATTCCTCTGCTCAAAACTTCTGTCTTTTCAGGAAAAACAATCTCACCATACCTGGCTTTTGTGTTTGCACTCTGTTGTAGACTAGGCTGACCTTGAATTTACAGAGGCGCCTGCCTCACAAGTGCTGGGATTAAAGGTTTGTGCACCTCAAAAGGCACCAGTCCCTTTTTCTTTTCTTTTTCCTTTGTTTTCTTTCCTTTAGGCGCATCAGTAACTTGCCTCCCTGGCCATGTGGAGCTTGTTTTCCAGTGTGGAAAGACAGGAAAGACGGGTCAGGTAGGGAAGGGTCCAGATGGTGTCTTGGCTAGAACAAAATCTCATGTTTCAAATGGAGGTCTGGAAACACCCCCCTGGAGACCCTGGTATCTGTGAGGGAGAAAACAGAGTGACGGGAAAGATCTTTCTAGGCTGGGGGAGCAGGTGCATAGGCTCTAAAGGGATGTGCATTTGAAAAACAGCAAGGAAAGCCAGCAGAATGGCTCCGTGGCTTGCTGCACAACTACACAATTCTCTCGTGCACACACACACACACGCACGCACACACACACACTGTACTACAATAAACATTTTAAAGGAAAAAGGCAAGCAGCAAGGAAAGCCAGTGTACTCTCATGGGGGTGGGAGGTTTTTGGAGGACATGAACCAAGACCGTACTTTCCTTGGAGTGAGACACCATACACTGACATTTTTCAAAGGGATCATTAAGAGGCTGGGAGTATAAGTCTACCCTGATTTGACTAACAATTTGCAAAGATGGCTCAAGCTGTTGGGGCAGAGTGGAGAGTGGTTAGTTAAAAGGCACAGGCTTCTCACCGCCACCTCGCGTCACCTGAGTGCTCGCCAGGATTGCCCGGTCCCTGCTCCCCGCTTGCTTCTGCAGCTTATCAGACAATGAGCGGGAAAGGAGATCAGATTCAAAAGAGACTTGTGCCAAGAAGTTAGCTGGTGATGTGGGGGGGGGGGGACGACGGGACATATCGTCAGCTATCTTTAACTTTCTAAGACAGTTTGTTTTTTACAAAGTAAGTCAAGTTAACCTGCTCACATCAAAACCACTAAGTACAAGATGTGGTTCGGTTAACTCCTAAGGGCCATTGGTTCTGCTCACCCTCTGGGCTTCCAAAGCTAAAACCGGGAAGTCAGAAAAATGAGCAAAGTTAGCATGCATTCTTTGCCAGGGCTACACAGAGGAGCCCTGTCTCCAAAAACAAAAACAAAACAACAACTATATATATATTACCTGTTGCTCCAAATACTGCGATTATTTTCCTGTTGGCCATGTTCCCAGGCAAAGAACGAGGTGACGGACAGCAGCCGAGCTGGCCAGCAGAGACAAACCGGGAAATGCTGCTTCTCTCCTGGCGCGACATTTATAAGCAGGTAGGAGCACCACGCCCCTGTAGAGTGCCCCTCCCTTGGAAGCGTTCTTGTTTCCACTAACTCCTTCACTCACTGTGTCTCTGCCGTTTTCCAGTGATGATTCATGTGGAACAGGGTGGTGGTGGCTATCCCATGCCCAAGAAAGAGATCTGCACACATATAACTGATTGGCCTGTTTGTTCTGAGCTAATGTTCCTGCCCGGCTAGAACCTGAAGGAATGCCTTCTGACCCAGCTGTCAGAAAGTGCCCGAGTCTAGATGCCCAGGGAGGTCATAACCAGGCAGACAAGCAAGGGCTGTAGTAACTGAGGTACAGACATCAGTAATTTCCCAAGAGTGACCGCCACCTGCTGAGGGTGGGATGGTTGCTCTCAAAGAGGAAAGCGCTGTGAGGGCAATTTCTCTAAGATGGGTGGTCAATTTCTCTAAGATGGGTGGTCAATTTCTCTAAGATGGGTGGTGATACTTGGTTTGTGATCTAACAAATAAAACTTGCCTGAAGATCAGAGTGCAGAGCTAAGCTCCTAGTTAGTCAAAGAGGCCGGGCAGTGGTGGCACACACTTTTAATCCCAGCACTCGGGAGACAGGGGCAGATGGATCTCTGTTGAGTTCAAGGCAGCCCTGGGTTCCATGAGATTGAATCTGTCTAAAAGAGAAAGAGAGCCAAGTTGTGGTGGTTGGCATCTTTAATTCCAGCACTAGGGAGGTGGAGATAGGAAATGATATGGCTGGATAGGGGGAGGAATATAAGGAGGGAGGAGACAGGAGCTCAGGATTCAGTCTGAGAACTTGTAGAGACGGGATACCCTATTCGGTCTGAGGATTTTGTAGCGCTAAGAACTAGTAGCTGGCTGCTCTGTTTCTTTGATCTTCCAGCTTTCGCCCCTAATATATGACTCCGGGTTTTATTATTAAGACCAATTAGAAATCGCATCACAAAGATATCAGCCTGCTGCCTTTTCTTATCATCCTTTGAATAAAGCTCACCCTAGACTTGATTGATCTCCCCAGCTGCCGTCAGGGGAGAAGCTAGCTATTCTGCGCCTCTCCCACGCTATTGCTTCTCACAAGCGATACAGTGAATTACAGGTCCTAGTGGTCTGCATCTAGTGAAGGGGCTACTCTATAAAAAAAAAAAATTGCAAGGGCTGGAGAGCTGCCTCAGGCAGTAAGAGCACCAGCACCTGGAGACTCTGACTCAAAACAAACAAAACCACCAACACCAACAAAACCCCTGCCATCCAGGGAAAGACTAAGAGAAGCTGAGCCCCTAGGGAGAGGCACCAAAGCCAGACTGGGACATTTGGGAAGGGTTGGAGGCAGGCATCGCTAGAGGGGGCCTGAAGAGGATGGTAGTGCCACTTTCTTCTGAGCAGCCCAACAATAAATAACGAGTTTTCTGTTCCTGTGAGACTCTTCAGCCAGCCTTAAGGGATGACCCCTGTGTAGCCTCTCTCCCTCCCTTCTAAGGTCTCCCTGGTAACTGCCGCTTACTTGACTCCTTCGAATTCCTCAATTTTCTTTGTGGAACTTGCTATGTAGACCAGACTGGCTTTGAACTCACAGAAACCTGTTTCTGCTTCCTGGATGGCTGGGATTAAAGGTGTGAGCCACCTTGTCCAAAAGTTAAGTTATTTTGAGACAAGGACTCATGGCCCAGGCTGGCTACATAGTTGAAAATGACCTTGAATTTATGAGCTTGTCCTCCTATTTCTGCCTCCCAAGTGGTGGAATTATAGCTATTCCTTATCATGAGTGGACTGTGGTTATAATATGAAATGTAAATAAAAGGTGTCTCTTTTTATCCCTTATACTCCGCTTCCTTTTTCTTTATAATCCCATATCGTCAGATATGTGATAAACATGTATAGTTACTTCTTTATATATATATACATATATATGTGTATATATATGTATATATATTATATATACAATACTCTTTCTGTGTGTATGCCTGAAGGCCGGAAGAGGACTTCAGACCTCATTACAGATGGTTGCGAGCCATGTTGTTGCTGGGAATTGAACTCAGGACCTTTGGAAGAGCAGGCAATGCTCCTAACTGCTGAGCCATCTCTCCAGCCCCATAGTTACTTCTATATTTACTTTATGCCTGCTCCCTCCCTAGAGCATATGCTTCGTTTCCTTGTAGTATCCCTAGTGTCCAAAGTGTCCAGCTGTATCAACACATAGTAAATTCACAGTAAATCTTTGTTGGAACAATGAATATTTAATGGGTGAATAGTATTACAAGAGTCAAAGTTAACCTGTGAGCCCCCACCTGCCCAAGGACCAAGTAATTTCCTGGGATGCTGGGTGTGGTTTCTGAGAAATAAAGTTGCTGTATGGTCTTGTCCTTAAAAGGCCCCTGCAGAAATGACTCAAGGCTGCTCACTGGGATTCTGGAGCGTGGACCTGATCAGGGTTCATCTTGGTCAGTATTTAATTAAAACTTGCTTCAAATTGGGCTCAAAATTGTGGAAGTGGTCTTTCTTTGGTGAATCTCACAAGTCTTAGTATTAACATTTGGAGGCCCACAGCAGGATAAGAAAGATCATTTCACCTCAAATTTAGAGCTAGGCTCTCCAATTCAGGACCAGAGGGCAACCCCAGGGGTGCACACTTTGGAATTTTAATCCAAGCCTCCAGCATCCTCCCAACCCCCTACCCTCACCCCATATAGTGAACAGCTATGTTCAAAAAAGGAGATAGCAAGCATTTTTAAGGAAGTTCTCCTTTTGATAAGTCATAGAAACCTTTTTAGGTGTCTGTGACACTTTTCTGCAGGGAGTCTGGATTCTGGTTATGGAGTAACCTGAACTGGGAACAGAGATACCTGACAAGGTCTATGCACCCCTGTTTAGGACAAAGGAAAGTGTCACACAGCCCCCTGAGCTGTGTAGTGGCTGATGTAGCAATTTAAGATTTGTCTCATCCTTCTCCTAAGAAAATTGGAAGCATGGGGGTTGGGGGAGAAGGGAGGGCAGAAGGACAGGAGGAGGAGGAAAGGGGAGGGGGAGGAGAATTTGAGGAAATGGAATGGTCATGATTGGGGAAGGACAGAGATGGAGAGCAAGGAAAGAGGTATCTTGATTGAGGGAGCCATTATGGGGCTAGCAAGAAACCTGGCACTAGAGAAATTCCCAGGAACCCACAAGGATGACCCCAGCTAAGACCCTAAGCTTAGTGAAGAGGACGCCTGAACTGGCCTTGCCCTGTAGTCAGATAGATGATTATCTTAATATCACCATAGAACCTTCATCCAGCAGCTGATGAAAGCAGAGGCAGAGACCCACAGTGGAGCACTGGACTGAACTCCCAAAGTTCAGTCAAAGAGTGGAAGGAGTGAGAATACAAGCAAGGAGGTCAAGACCACAATGGGGACACCCACTGAAACAACTCACCTGAGCTATTGAAAGTCCACCAACTCCAGCCTTCCAGCAAGGGAATCAGCATAGGACCAAATTAGGCCCTCTGAATGTGGGTGACAGATGTATGGATGGGAAAGACTGTGGGGCCACTGGCAGTGAGACCAGAATTTATCCCTCTTGCTGGTACTGACTTTTCAGAATCCATTTTCTTTGGCAGGATACTTTGCTCAGCCTAGATATAATGGGGAGGGCCTTGATCTTGCCTCAAAGCAATGTGTCAGACTTTGTTGACTTCCCATGGGAAGCCTTATCTTCTCTGAGGAGTGGATACGGAATGGGATGAGGCTGGGAGATGGAGGGAGCCGAAGGAGGGAAGGGGGTGGGAACTGGGATTGGTATGAAAAATGAGAAAAGATAATTTTGGGTTTTGTTTTGTTTTTTAGTTTTTGGGGGTTTTTTTGTGACAAGGTTTCTCTGTAGCTTTTGATCCTGTCCTAGAACTAGCTCTTCTAGACCAGGCTGACCTCAAACTCACAGAGATCGCCTGCCTCTGCCTCCCGAGTGTTGGGATTAAAGGCGAGGCCACCACCACCCAACTGAGAAAAGATAGTTTTTAATAAATAAATAAATAATAAAAAAAGAAACTATCAACAGCAACAATAAAAAATTTGCCTCATCTCATGCAATCAGAGAACATTGCAGATGCTCAGTAAAGACAGATCCAGATGAGTCAGGCGGTGGTGGTACACACCTTTATTCCCAGCACTCCAGAGGCAGAGGCAGGCAGATCTCTGTGAGTTCGAGGCCAGCCTGGTCTACAAGTGCTAGTTCTGGGACAGGCTCCTAAGCAACACAGACAAACCCTGTCTCGAAAAGCCAAAAAAAAAAAGAGAGAGAGAGAGAGAGAGAGACAGACAGACAGACAGACAGACAGATCCATATGGGGAAAACTCTAAACAGGTTACAGTGTGTTTAAAACTGTACATAGGCTTAAAAAAATAAAAGAAAAATGAGCCGGGCAGTGGTAGTGCACACCTTTAATCCCAGCACTCGGGAGGCAGAGGTGGGCGGATCTCTGTGAGTTTGAGGCCAGCCTCGTCTATAAGAGCTAGTTCCCGGACAGGCACCAAAGCTACACAGAGACTTTGTCTCAAAAAAAAAAAAAAAAAAGAGAGAGAGAGAGAGAGAGAGAGAAAGAAGGAAAGAAAGAAAAGAAAAATAATATATAGTCATATAGTCATAGTAAAAATAGTTTAAATATAATAAAGTCTTTAAAGAAAAAAGTAAAATAATAAGAACTAGTTGGTAATAAGCCTAAGCTATCGGCCAAGCATTTACAATTAATGGTAAGTTTCTGTGTGGTTATTTGGGAGCTAGCTAGTGGGAAGGAAAATTCCTCCTCCAGCTCTGTTGTTGATTCTATGCCTTGTCTATGTTTGTACCTGTCAGTATATATTCTGACTTGGGGCAACTAAATGGACAAGCAACACGTAAGTTGGCACTGCTGTTGGGGAAGTCACTCCCCACATGG